AGCTCCAGCGGTTACGGCGGCGGCGGCGGCGGCGGCGGCTGAGGCTCGGCCGTTCTGCAGCCCTCGCCTAGCGGCCGCGGCGGCCCGGTCACCTGCCGGCTCGGGGCAAGGCCTCGCGGAAGCGGAAGAGGGGTGTGGACGCGGCCAGGGCGGCGGCGGCTGCACTAGGAGGAGGCGACTGCGGAGAGCAGTTAGTGGCCGCGATAGCTACGGAAGAGGCGGCCGAGCCGAGGGCCAGGCCGAGGGGAGCGCGGCCCCCGGCGCCCCCGGTGAGTGCGAGCGGGCGGGGGGCTGCCCCTGCGCCTCGCCATCTTCCTCCTGGGCCCCCATCCTCTCTGCCCCCCAATCCTCCTAGGCTCCCGTCCTCTCTGCCCCCCTTTCTTCTCCGCCCCCCGCGTCCTCTGCTGCCCATTCTCCCTTGGCCCCTACTGTTTTCTCTACCTGCTGTGTCCCCTCTGTTCTCTCTGCTCCTGCTTCCACTTCTGCTCTTTTTGCCTCCTGGGCCACACTGTTCTCACTGCTCCCCATTTTCTGGGGTCTCATCTTTGCCTCCTCTGCCCTTCTGTTTTCTCTGCCCCCTAGGCCGTTGCTGTCTTTTCGGCCTCCTATGCCCTCTCTGCTTCTCTCCTCTTCCCCTTCGCCCCAATCTCCTGGGCCCCCAGTCCTCTTTGCCCCCAATCTCCTGGGCCCCCAGTCCTCTCTGTCCCCTAATCCTCCTGCTGGGCTCCTCGTTCTCTCCACCCCCTATTCTTCCTCTTGCGCGCCTCCCCCTCTATCCTCCCCCCCCGCCTCTCTGCCCCCCTCTCTTCTCCGACCCCCCCCAGTCCATTCCCACTGGGCCCCTACCGTCTTCTGCACCTGCTGTGTCCCCTCTGTTCTCTCTGCTTCTGCTTCCTCTTCTGCTCTTTCTGCCCTCTTTGCCTCCTGGGCCCCTCTGTTCTCACTGCTCCCCATTTTCCTGGGTCCCATCTTTGCCTCCTCTGCTCCTCTGTTGTCTCCGCCCCCCCTTTCCCTAGGCCGTTGCTGTCCTCTCGGCCTCCTGTGCCCACTCTGCTTCTCTCCTCTTCCCCCTCCCCCCAATCTTATTCATTCTTTGCTTCCTCCAGTGTTTGGCCCATAGTAGGCACTTAACATTTATTTACTGGCTGACTGAATCTGTCCTCTATTCCTCCTTTACCTCCTGCCTGTATCCTCTTCCTCCTTTGCCTCCTTTTCTTACCTCTGTCTCCGATTCTCATTCTTCTTCTGTCACCTTTTCCATCTTCCTCTTCCTTTTCCTTTCTCCTCTTCATTTCTTTCCTAATCCTTCTGTTTCCCTTTTTATTTATCTTCATTCACCAGTTCCTATTCTTTTATCCTTCTATTCCTCCTTTTCCTTTTATTCCTTTTCCTTCTATTCCTTTTCCTTCTCTTATCTTAGCAGTATTCATATCCCCAGTAGTCTTCCTTTTAATGTACTTCCTTTTGACCTGATTCCGTCTCTCTTCTGATTTCTTCTATTCTTGACCTCTAAAATTATCTTCTCTTCCTCTTCTTCCTCTCTCTTTTCCTTCTTATTCTTTTTAATCCTTTACTTCTTTTTGCCTCATTCTCTTCTTTCTGTTCCACCCTCTCAGATTCCTATACCTTTTTGTTCTCCTGTAGCCTCAAACCTGGTTGTCTGTTCCCCCACCTGCCAAAATGCAGAGCCCTCTAGCTAGATTCCTTTCGCATTTCCCTCTTCACTCTCTATTCCTTCTCTTTCCTTTTTTTCCCCCCTTTTGGTCTTCGTCTCTTAATTTTTCTCTGCCCATGTTCTACCTTTTTAAACCTTTATCTTCAGACTGCTCCTTTTCCCTCCATCTTGTGTCCCTGGACCCTTTGTTGAAGAAAAGTGTAAAATTTTCCGAGGGCTTCCTTTTTCCATTTCTTTGTAGATATTTTCTGTAGTTTTAATTAAAATTTCAAAGGTTAAGTGTTGCCTGCTTGCTCTATCTCAGTCACTCTCAGGACACTGTGGTCTAGGCTTGATAAAATGAATTGAGCACTGGACTTGGAGACAGCAGTCACTTATTAACACTGTGACAACCACTGAGCCTCAATTTCCTCATCTGTAAAGTGAATATAATTATAATAGAATACGTATTATAATATATATGTTATATATATAATATAACTATACTCACTGGGTCATGAGAACAGTGTTTTGTAAAGTACACAGCAGTATAAAACTATGAGCTATTATTATTGTTAGTGCCATAAAACTTCTCAAAAATGTTTTTAACAGATATCATTTGGAAAGAAGATTTCTTAAAACTAATGAAGATAAGATATGATGGAGCAGACTAGGTGTTAGGAGGCCTAGGTTTAGTTTGAATTTAGCCACTGAGTGGAAGTGTGACCTTGGACAAGTCACTTAGGCCTTGGGGCTTTGGTTTCTTCATTTGTAAACTGAAAAGTGGGAGATGATCTTAGGAGCTCTTACATTTTTGATTCTGTGGTTTAACTTAGACCAGAAAATTAAGCAGTTACAGCCTTTTGAGGTATGTGCTGTTTTCTCCACGGGTTTCAGAAAGGTTAAGTGAGTTGTCTAAAGTAGTACAGGTGATAAGTAGTAAAGCTGAACAATTCATAGTCCTTGGGCTCTTGCCACTGCACCACATCTGCCTTCATGCCCTCTATAGCTCTTTAGTTAGCCTGGACTTAATCTTACTCTTTAATATAAATCATAGCTAGAGTTTCTTGTTCTGAAGTCTCAGTTACTTGTTAGTTTTCATTTGTGCTATGATACACACACACACACACACACACACACACACACACGTTTTCTTTTTGTGGGGCTGGTATTCTTGAGTTTTAGCTGTATTTCTTGGGCAAAGGAAATGGTTCTAACAGATAATAGTTTGCAAGTTATAATGATGAAAATGATTTTGAATAAGTGTTCAGGACTTTAGACTCAGTATGTGAAACATACAGCATATTTCTTAAAAGTTCAGAATTGTTATTTCTCATCAGGCGCATAGATGGAATTGAAAGGGAAGAAACTGGGGTATCAGAATGTGAAGTGATTGACCTAAAGTCCCACAGGTAATAGGTGTCTGAGGTAAAATCTGAATCTAGGTCCTTTGGAGTCCAGAGCCCGGGCTCTTTTCACTGCACCAGGCTGTTTTGTAGACAGGGAGAAAAAGAAACTTAGGGCCGGTCAATCAGCAAGCATCTATTAAATGCTTGCTTAGTTCGAGTTAGGTGCCAAGCACTGTGGAAAAACCCTGGGAATACAAGAAAAGACAAAACAGCCCCTGCCCTCAAAGAACTTACATTCTAATGGAAGAGAGAAAATCTAAATAACTAGGTACATGGAAGTTATGCCCAGTAGACAGGGGATAGATAATCTTCAAGGGGGAAAATATTTGCAGTGGAGAGGGTAGGAGATGGAGAAGATGGGGAAAAGCCTCTTGAAGAAGGTGGTATTTGATCTGATACTTGAAGGGACAGGGAAATCAGGAGGCAGAGGTGAGGAGAGAAAATTGCACACATGAAGTACATCCAGGGCAAAAGCTAGAGAGCAGGCCTCCATTCTAATGCTGTTGTACCATCCTACTGGCTGTTCCTTGCTTTCTCCCGAGGTAACAGGAGATGCCTGCGGCCCTGTCTGATAAATGGTATAATTAGGAACAGAACCCATATTTTATCTCTGGGTAGATTTGAACCAGTAGGTTACCCTGACTCAGGCTATGCTCATGAATAGTTTTGAACCCTGGATGCATTATATAGCGTTATAGCATTGGACATGGATTTATGTAAAATATCAATTTAAAGAATCATTATTAGGTTTCTGTTTTAAAATCATAATTTTTAGATTATAATTTTACAATTCTATCATCTTTTGTGTAATCTTTTGACGTTTAGCCTATTTAAATGGATAGAATTTTGAAGCTTTTATAGGAAATAAGAACTAGGGCATATTTGAAAAATAGCACATAATAATTACTGACATATAAACCTTTAAAAGTTGAAAAGCACTTTACATGGCATCATATTGTATGTACTGATATGTAACATGTTGACATCCTCTGTAAAATATTAAGATTCTTGGTGGCAGGAACTTTCCTTTTTGATTCTGCTTCTCCAGCTGTGTCTGATCACTGTAGGTGACAGCTAATAGGTGATTAATATGTGTTTGTGATTGATCAGCTCATTTTATGCTCACAACAGAGCTATGAAGTAGGGATTGCAGGTATTATGTTCATTTTGTCATACAGCTAATAAGTGACAAAACCAGGATTCACACCCAGGCCTCTAACTCCAAATCCGTTACTTTTCTTTTGTGTCACTCTCCCTTCCAGTGACAAATCAGAGTAAAACTGTGCCCATGGTGCCTGGTGGCTGAGATTTGTTTAATTTACCAAAAAGTAGTTGAAACATTTTGAAGATGTGGTTTTAAATTGACTTTGCTAATACGCTGAAAAATTGTTTGTCTGCAAAATTTTTCATCCTCCTCACATTCCTAATGCCCTAATAAAGATGTACGTCTTAGTACACTACTACTGTGAAATGACAGAATCTCAGAGTTGGAAGGTTGCATGCAGAACTACAACATTGTTCCAATGCTGTGAGTAATAATACTTACTTTTACTTCTTACTAGCCATATGACTTTGGACAAGTCACTTACCTTCTCTGAACCTCACCTTCTTCATCTATAAAATGGGGGTAATGATGCTTTCATTACCTGTTTTACAAAATATTCATGAGTTTTGTAAACTATAGACTGTTATTTAAATGTGAACTATTTTCATTATTATTGTTTATCTTCAGATTGATTTCTTTAAACTGTGGCCTAAACTCTTCCAGGTAATGATAGTCATGATAACAGACCTTCAGATTTAGCTTTAGGTTTTACAAAGCTTTTTGCATTATCTCATTTGTATCTTACAACGTTCCTGTCAGACGGTATTATGAATTCTCTTATCCCTTTGTTCACAGATGAAGATTCTGAAGCTGAAGAAGTTAAGTGACTTCGGCAGAGTCACACAGCTAGTGAGTGCCTGAGAGGGGTTCAAACACATATCGTACTGACCTTAGTTCTGAACTTGATCCACTATACCAACCTGCCTCAGGTAAGGTTCACAAAACTCATTGCAATGACCCAATATTCAAAGTGTTGTGGATCGAAATGAAGACAAAGAAGAAACTGATTCAGCTTTGGTAGTGTGTTATTGGAGCTTTCTTTTAGAGTTCATATAGGAGGTGGGTCGATGCAAACTTTCTTCCCTCAAACACAAATCTTTGTAATAGACAATTGTAGTTTCTGATTGGGTATAACAGACAGTGAACCAAAGTATCTTTTAGTAATGCATTGGTCGGCTGACTCTGAAAGTGAGGGAAATTACCTTTTAAAAAAATTATGTTCAGGGTGCTAATAAATATACTTTTTGGACTGTTTATAACCTTTTCTAGCAGTCAGTGAGTAGACATGTTACAGGAGAAATTGAATCATATCAACCTTGACAGTCTTACTATAAATGCAACTAGATAAAAAAGTTATAGGTAAATGGACAACAGGTTCTCCTTGGTCAGATAAGCAAAGGGATTGGCAGAGTTGTTTTCATTTTGAGTCTTTAGGCAACAAAAAATATCATGTTAGGGGACATTCGATCATCTTAGGTTACAGTGTTCCTGATATGAATTTGCAGAAAGACCAGCATAGATCAACTAGTCCATTAAAAAGCCATTATCAAGACACTGCTATGTGTCAAATGCTGTCCTAGGCACTGATATTATAAATATGACAGTAGAGAGCCCCTGCCCTCAAGGAACTTACATTCTACTGGGGGCACACATGTGTGCACATGTGTGTGTGCACATGCCCACATATATATACACAGAATGTTCACAGAGAAGTAAATGTAAGATATATTTGAAATGAATCCACAGTGATTTGGGGGTTGGTTTGTGGAGACTTGGGGATGTTGGGGGGGGGGTCAGGAAAGGCCTCTAAAGCAGGTGACACTTGGAGCTGAGCTTTTAATGCAAAATAATTGGAGCTTGTCAACATGTATTGAAGAGGATGAGCAAATTATGTCAATGCAAAGGTTGTCTTAGGATAAGACAGTGAAAATTATGATTCATGTATTAGAAATGAGAGCATCAAAGGCTTTCAGACAATAGGGCACCCTTATGCCTCTATGACATGACTTTCTTGGAGAAGAGAATTGTGGATGTGGTAGATGCCAACAAAACAATGAAATCAACTTTATTTTAACAGGTAGGAAATAATCTGATTATTGATGTCGAAGTCATTTTTCCAGATCAGTTTCATGTGAACAGTCTAATTATTGACTTGGTAAGGCAAAGATCAAAATCAGTATCAAATTAGAAGAAAAAAAAAGAAAAGATATAGCTTATAATTGAGCTAACTCAATTAAACTCAACAAAAATGAAAGCCTAGGAATACAAAGACAAAACTTTCTTGCCCTCAGAGCTTGCATTCTACTGTGAGTATATAGCTTATACACAGATAAGTAAATAGAAAATATATACAAATTTCCTCATCCATTAAATAGCAGTTTAGACTTGATAATCTCTAAGGCCCTTCCTGATCTCAATCTATGATCCTATGATGCTATAATTTCAAAAGTAAAAGAGTATTTTTATGTGAGGGGATCCAGAATGGCCTTGTGTTTGAAGTAGCACCTGAACTCACTTTAAAGAAAGCTAGAAATGCTATGAGGCAGAAGTAAAGTAAAAAAACAAGAACAACAACAGAAAGCCACTTCCTGAGAAGAACTTTGGTTGTACTGGGGGATACAATGTATGGCAAAGCAAATAAGAACAAAATGATTTGGAGAGGGATAGACTAGTAGTAACTTGTAAGATCAAGGGAAGGCTTCATGGAGGTGGTGGTACCAGAAGTGAGAAGGCAACAAGGATTCATAAAGGCAGACATAAGAAGGAACTTGCTTGAGGCATGGGGAATAGCTTATGCATGGGCATGGAGGGGAGAGATAGAATGCCAACTGTAGTGCATCACAAGTAGGCTAGTCTGGCTAGAGTGAAGAGTTTGTGAAAGGGTTTGGGGCTATATTGTGAATGCTGGACTGAGGAGTTCATATTTATTCTAGAGGCAGTGGAGCCTCACTAAAGATTTTTGAGTCAAGGTGTGTCTTGTCTATGCCTTGGGAAGATTATTTTGGCAGTTATGTGGAGGATGGATTGGAAAAGGCAGATATTAGAAGCAGGGAGACCAATTGCAGGGAACCACTCCTGTGATTTCATTGTTTTTTGAGAACTCCTGCAAGAGAAAATTTCCTCTACCAATACATGTTGGCTCCTTCTCTGCAATTTACAGTCTTACTTGCCTAAAGCACTGAGAGATTAAGTGACATGCTTAGGGTCACACAGCCAACTTCTGTTAGAGGCAGGGCTTAAATTACCTAGATATGACTTCAAGGCCAACTTTTTAGCCACTCTACTATGGCTGCCTCCCAATTGGGAGGTTTTTCTAATAGTCCAGAGGAAGCTGAAGGCTTCAACTAGGGCAGTGGCTGTAAGCAAAAAGAAGTAAAATCGAGAGGTGTTGTGGTAGTAGAGTTGAGATGATGTGGAGATTATTTAGATGTGGGAGAAGAGGGAGAGGGAGGAGTCCAGTATTATTCCCAGGTCACCATCCTAGCCCCTGGCTTGGTAGTAATGCCTTTAAAAGAAGGAGGGTCAGGGAAGACAGTGACTTTCACTTTGCCCCTTGTGAATTTGATGTTTAGTTGTCTAGCAGTCACTCAGTAATGTGCGACTGGAGTTGGAGAGATTAGGGCTAGATATATAGATGTGGGATTAATCTGTATAGGAATGATAATGAATTCTGTGGGAGCTGATAAGCTTGCTAAAAAAGCGTCAGGAGAGAAGAGAGCCCAAGACAAAAGTTTTGGGGACACTTATGGGGCACAAGAAATAGATGGTGATCCTGCAAAGGAGCCTCAGAAGAATTGGCCATAGAAATAGGGAAAGTAATGTCATGAAAACTCAAGTGGGAGAATATAGTATTCAGAAAGGAGAGTGGGTGGTCATACAGTGTGGAAAGCTGCTGAGAGATCAAGAAGGAAGAAGATTGAGGAAAGTCTTAGTATTTGAAAGATTAGTTACCTGTGATAGAGTAGTTTAACTTAAGGGGTTTCAGAAGCCAGATTTCAAAGAGGAGAGATGAGAGTGAGAAGTGTGGTAACGAAGACAATGAATGTAGTTTTTTCTTTTTTTTTTTCCCCTATAAGTGTGACTGTGAAAAGGAGAGTTTCAGGGTAAGGAATAGGAGAAGGGAGATAACTGAAGGAGGACGTGGTCCTGTATATATTTATTACAGTTGTATAATTGGGCAGAAGATGGAGGAAAGCTCGTTAGAATATAATTCCCTAAACATTGGCAATCAAGAATTTCAGGGGAGATAAGGAGACTTTTTTGGTAAAACTACAGAATTGAGTCATCTGTTCTTCTTAGTCTTGAGGTTAAAATCTCTACACCTGGTATTTTCATAGAACTTTTAACTACTACTTCATTCATTCTTGTGAGGCATGATTTTTTTTTATTAAAACATTAATAGGCTTTCATGGAGAACTGTTATTGGATATGGATCCATTTGGTCAGATGTAGTATTAAAGAATGAAGAAAGAAAAAATTCCTAATTAGTGCTACAGACATTACAAGTAATTTCCACCTCAGCAAATTTGCTATTGGTAAGTTTTTGCAAGTCAGATATTTATATTTTTCAGTTGATTATTTTTGTACTCTTTTTTGATCAGAGTCATCTTTGATTGGTGTTTGTTAAGTTAAAGACTGAAAAAAACAAATGAATGGGAGGACATGTAAACTGATAACAATGGAAATAAGCAGGAAACTGGGAAAACAATATAGGGTATTGTAAAAGTCTTAGTGCAGTTGTGAGCTTTAATAACTTAAGAAATATAAATGTTACAAACTTACAAAAACATCATTTGAAAACTTAATTATTTTAATTAATTTAGTTTTTTTGAAATTTTGAATAGCACATTTTAAATTTAAATTTTAACAAGACCAGTTTCCCTGTTATTATCGCATTGTGTGTGAGACAGTTTCTGGATGACACTTTCTTAGACAGGTAAAGGACTTCCTCTTGTTTGGCTATCTAAATGACATGATTTGTCTCCTTTAGACTTTTTCTCATGTCACATTTGTAGTATATATATCAAAACCTCTTCCTATGAATGTTCTTAAGACTAGGATGCAGCTAGGTGGCACAGTAAATAAAACACTGGGCTTGGAATCAGGAAGATTCATCTTTGTGAGTTTAAATATAACCTCAGACACTAGCTGTGTTGCCCTGGGCAAGTCATTTAAACCTGTTTGTCTCTGCTTCCTCATCTTTAAATGAGCTGAAGAAGGAAATGGCAAACCACTACAGTATCTTTGCCAATTGTTGAATTTTAATAAGAAATATCAATATTTTAAATAATTAACATTTGCAGTATTATTTTGAGAAATTTGCAGCATTTATACTTCTAGGATTATTAAAGCTTAAAACTGCACAAAGAATTTTGGGATACCCTGTATTGTTTCCCCAGTTCCCTGCTTACTTTTCATTGTATCAGTTTATGTCTTTCCATTCATCTGCTTGTTCTCTTTTTATCTTAAGTTAGCATTTTGACTTTCTCATTTAACACATTAGAAATGAGGTGTTATGGTCCAAACTGTCATGGATGATAAAAACAAATGCTTATAGAAATGTTTGACCTTTCTGTTCTATTTTTGATGATTATTTGTTGACCTTGTGCTAGTTTTACCTAAGAATTCACGTGAAATGATGTGAGTTTTGGGGGTCTCTTACCACACTTCTCAACACTCACTTTTACCTATGTTGCTTTCCATTGTTTTATGAAGTGGTATTTCTTATAATCTTCTGCTGTCCTCCAAAGTGTTTTGAATTTATATTCCGGAATAGTTGCCCTCAGGTGCCATGTCTCTCTGCATGGCAAGTATTTGCAGGCTTAATTAATTTGTGAGTTCTTTTGGCCTCCTCGTTATAGTGATTGCTTTGCAGTCATTAAATTTTTTCAGGAAAGATGATCATCATTGATCAATATCTTTACCTTTTTTCCATTTCCCATTGTTTAGCATTTGATTTTATGTTAAAAATGTTGGAATTGTACTTACTGTTTTCTCATAATTATATTTTCTTCTAAATAAATCTCTTTTTTTGACCTGAGGAGAATCTGTTGTTGTGAAATGTGGTTCTCTGAAAAATCAGAAGGAAAAGATCTAGTCATTAAGAAGAGGTCAAATAATTTATAAATATTTACTCTAATTTAGAAGAGTTGAACTGTAATTTTTTGTGTTGTAGTAATTTACATGTTTATGAAGTGAGTCATCCTATTAATGTAAAGCGACCTGATAGCAATCTTAAGAAATGTTGAAATGCCAGTTGGGTGTCTACTAGTTAAGTAAAAGTTTGAGTTATGAGCTCACCATTTAATTTACAAATTAGTATGTTGGAATCATAAGAGCTAATGAAAGTATTTTATGAATGCTACTTCTGCTTCACTTGCTTAAGATGAGCTTACAGCATTGTATGAAGTTCTAGTTGCTGCCTAGAATGTATGATAGTTTCTGTTTAGGCACTGGCCACACCTAATAGATGTTAGCTGAGTGGAGAGACCTTCCAAATTTACCTGTTATATGTTTGTTCCTTAATCTAATTTAGAGCTGGTGGAGGACGACTGTTTCTTCTCATACACCCAAATTGGAAGGATTATGCTGGGCTACCTTCAGCTAACCAGGTAATTTTTCTATGTGCCATTTTTTTCCTCCCTTTTTTTTCTTACCAGGTTTTGGTCAAAAATAACTATTAAGACCTTTCTTATTTCCATGCTATGTGAGGCAAATAAAAACCGATATAGGTATGCTATTCACTATTTTGTGGGGCTTCTCACCTTAGTGATGAAAAACATTTGCTTTTCTGTGGAAATTCAGTTCATCCATTTCAATAAAGAGAAGAGAATCAGAATGGATTAATTCCACTGAGAAGGCTGTTCTTTATTATATTTTGCTGATTTGAATGTATTCATGTTTCTGATGATAGTGAATTTAAGAATAGGAGATTAAATTAATGTCCTGTGTAGTTGTTAGGAATACTCTTAGTTGTTTAAATGTAGAGAGAAGTCAAACATCAAAAAAAAAAAAGCACATGAAGGTAATTGAAACTGCTGAAAACTTTCTGCAGCCTGATTTTTAACATAAAATGATTAAGAATATTAAAAAGTTAATATGCTTAAAAATTGTTCTTACAGCTCTTTGGGATTGATGTTATCTATAGCTTCTCTAGATTTAATGATGATGCAGAACAGTTTGTAGCATGTTTCATCCTCCAGAGCTGCTCTGATTTTAATCAGATCAGCATATATTTTAGCCTTTCTGATACAAGGATAGTGAAATTCTTGCTTGTTTTTTGAAGGACTGGGTACTGTTGTTATTTTTAGAACGAATATAAACGTGATGCTCCTCTTTGTCTCCAGTATTCTACTAAGAGTTTTTGAAATTTGATCAGTTGAGAAGACTTTCATTCTAATCGTTTGTATTTTTTGGCTTCATCATTATTTATATGTTTATAGGGGAGATCATTTTTATAAGAAAAACATTTACTGTAACCCTTCATCTAGAATAGTTGCTAGCTTTAAAATTCATTGACACAGGCCTGCAGTCACATATTATACAGCTTTTTATTTTATAATATATTCGAGTGTGTCAGCAAGAAATGTAGCAGAAATTATAGAATTCCACACAACCCCCTCCTCATTAATATTGTATTCCCAGTAAAACTCTTGAGCTTATTAATTTACTGCCAAGAATTTAATCTTACAAATTATATCTATGCAGTGTTTTTAAATGCTTAATTTGGTACCATGCTTCTAGTAGGAGCATCTAATTGCCAGGTCAACCAAATGGTACTTGGTGGCATAGTAATAAAGCTAAATGAAAAAATTATCCAGAAATATTTAATAGGAACATTCTAGTATTGATTTTTTTAAACCTAATTCATTTTCTTTGGCATTTTGAGAGAGTTACTTTTCACTAATAGATTATTTGTGGTTTTTACTTCCATGAATTGAAATGTATCTGGTTATAGTTTCTCTTAATTTGAAAGGTAAAGTTTTAGTCACCTCTCTTAAAATATTTTAATGATTAAAAATTTAAGGTAAATAATTTTATACTTATCATATGAATCAGCCTGGTGTAAAAGGTAGAGAATTGACCTCAGAGTTAGGGAGATGTGGGTTGTATTGACTGAGTGACTTTGGGCAAATAGTTTCTTTCCATGCCTCAGACTAGCACTATAAATGCAGAGCAGTTGCTGATCTGCATTGATAGTGGGAGATTCTTCATTCCCTGTGCCAGTGAAATCATGACCCTTGTTCCTACTCACCCCAACTCCTAAAAAGTGGTTTCATGTCTCCTTCCTCCTACTTAGTGGCAAAGTTTGGATATACTGACTCTATTTGAATTTCATTTTCAAAGGAAATATTAAATAATAAATATGGAAAGCTCTTGATGAATTATTTCCAGTGGAGCAGAAATACTATTCTACTTTTTCACATATAATGTTTTCTTTTTTCTCCTTTAGGATCACCTTCCCTTGTTGACTAGTAGTCATAAATTATACAATGGGTCTACGGATTCACTTTGTTGTTGACCCACATGGTTGGTGCTGCATGGGTTTGATTGTCTTTGTCTGGTTATACAATATTGTCATAATTCCCAAAATTGTCCTCTTTCCTCACTATGAAGAAGGACATATCCCAGGCATATTAATAATATGTAAGTCTATGTGTCTTTTTTTTTTTTAATATAACAACCTTTTTTTCCATGTAAATGTGTTCGGGTAATAATGCCTTTGTGATTGCCCTACTGATAGTACCAGACTAGTTTAGTAAAGAGCATTGAGAAAACGTTCAGAACAAATGGGCTCCTAAGATTTGTAGCATGATATAGTAGATAGTGGCCTGGACTCAAAGTCAGGAAAAACTGACTTTAAATGCCACTTCAGCCACTTACTGGCTGAGTGATTCTGGGCAAGTCATTTAATCTGTGCAGGCCTCATTTTCCCCATTTATAAAACAAGGGGTAGTAGACTTAGGGACTCCTTAGTTCCCTACCATCTTTCAATCTATGATCCTATGAAAATATCTTAGTAAATTTTTGTTTTAATCTTGCTTTAAATTAAGTTGTCAGCATGAGGGAAGAGTTTTAGGAATGGAACAGGGAAAGGTAACTAGGAAAAGAACTGAATGATCTACCATTCCCCATGTAGGCTTCCCTAGGATTGAATTAGATCTCTAAGGTCCCTGTCAGTTCTAACATTTGATCACTGTAATAACACTGAGGCAAGATTGAACTTTAGAATAGCTTGTGCAAGTTTGGGAGTCCACTGTAGAAGTTTTGTTCATGGCAAAGGAGTAAACAGAATTCTTTCTTTGAATTATGGACTATTTTAAAAGAAGTGCTGTTTTTATTATTTTATAATTGTATACATAGTAATAGTGATAAATAACACATTTATATAGTACCCAGATTGAGTAAATGTTGAAGCAGAGATTCAGGATAAGTCTTTTCCCTTTGATACCACTTTGCTAATGTATAAAATAGATATAAAATTTCATAGGCTGAACTTAACTCAGGTGAAATTAGGAGTATATTTGTTTATGAGGTTTTTTGCAATGGCATCTATCTCTTGGAGAAGCAATGCCATGTGAGTGAAGCCTAGATAGACAGATAATTCCTACAAATTCTTCCAATCAGTAAATCATCCTACAGTCTACTACTGTTCACTGGAGCTTTGTGGTTTGTGTTCTTTGTTTTTCTATATATTTGAATTCTGAGATTGCCATTTTCTTATTTTCCTTTAACCCTTTTTTTGTTTTGGAGGTAGGTTGATGACAGAGTAAATAGATCACTAGACTTGGAGTTAGGAAGACCTGAGTTTGAGTCCTGCCCTCGACAGTTACTAGCAACGTCACCCTGGGGAAGTTACTTAAGCTCTTGGGGCCTCAGTTTCATTATGTAAAAAATGAGGGAGCTGGACTCATTTGGCCTCTAAAGTCACTTCCAGCTCAAAATCAATGAGCTTTCTTTCTTTTTTTGCTTTATTGCATCATGTTGTGCTCTACTGTCTTGCAGTTTCAAAAGAAACTCTTTAGTCCTATGTGACTGGCTTACTGATTCACCTACTTATATTATTATTTGTGGATATGGGAAGTGTATACAAACTTGCCTGATTTTGAATTTTAATTCTGCGTGGATAAAGAATAGATTTTCAGAGGCTACAAAGAATAATTGACAACAGAAAGATCAATGTACCCCATGAAAAATGGAGTAATACTAGTTCTGACCTATATCTACAGCACACTTCTGTCATCAGAGAAAAAGATGATGAAAATATTTCTAAGCTTTAAAATTTTTTATCAGCTAAAATAATTTACTTGGCACTGGTATTGTTGGAAAGATTTTCTCATACACCTGTTTGTCAATTGCCACTGTTTTAATAATGCTTTGTGTTGAGATATTTGATTCTTTAGTTTTGTGAAACTTTATTTTGTTCTTATGTGATAATAGATTTTCTGAAACTGTAGTTTTGCATTTCATTATCAATTATAGCCTCCTAGATATGTCTTATTTGGAGAATCTATAGATTCTGAACTTCTCTACTTTCATGTAGAATCATGTAGAATATTGTCATTTGAGGGGCTTGTAGAGATCATTTAGTACAGCTCCCTTCATTTACAGGGCAGGAAACTCAGGGAAATGAAGATACTTGCTCAGTTCACTCACCTCATAAAATTTATATGTGATGACAAGGTGCTGGGGCTCTGTGTCAGATGAGCAAGATAGACTTTTGTCTATAGCCATAGTATATATTTGTTTTAAGTTTGTGTTATAATGTATTTGTACTAGGAGTATTAGTATTCAAATTCTTGTTTCTCCCCCCCCAAACACTTGTTAATAAGATTATAAATCTCAATAAACTGCATCTCACCTGTGGATTTGATTAGTAGTATGTAGGTAAGTAGTAGGCAAGGAAGAGCTGAGGATGGAGAACTTAACCTGGGATTGGATGATCAGAAAAGGGTTCATGGAGAAGGCAGTACTGGAAGACAGTTCTTGTAGGATAGGTGGGGAATTTATAGGCAAATTGGAAGGGAGAAAGTATTCCAAGCTGGTGGAAGTGTGTGAGTAAAGTCATAGTAAGTAGGTCAGTTTGTATGGAGCAGATAGGTTATATTGATGTCAGATTGCAGAGGACCTCTAAAATCAGGGTGAAGAGTTTGGGTGTTGCACACTAGATTATGGGAAACCATTGAAAAATTTTGAACAAGGACTTGAAGTAATCGAGTCATATATACTGGATTGGACTAAGGGAAGATCCTACAGATAGGAATATTCATATTAGGTTATATGATTATAGTTAGGTGTGAGATGATAAGAAATCTATTTAAAAGTGGAGAACTTAAATTAACCCTGTAATACATACTGTTAGTGTGAATTAGTCACCAAATAAAACTTATTTTATTGATTTGTCTTCTTGGAAGCAATTATTATGTTTATTTTTATAACATATATTAAAGTACATATTTTACGATGTAAATGTAGTTAATGATAAAGAAGTGTCTTTAAGGGTAAGTGGTTGTCTCTCTTTTTTTCAGTCTTCTATGGTATTGCCATGTTTTGTTTGGTGGCCTTAGTGAGAGCCTCAATAACTGATCCAGGAAGACTCCCTGAAAATCCAAAGATTCCACATGGAGGTATTCTATTCTTCAGAAATATTGTACTTAATTCCTAGCTCATAAGTTTTTTATGATATCCTTAGTTATATTTAACATGTTGTATTGACACCTTTTATGCCTTTATGGCATAGCCATTTCAACCCTCCCTCTCTCCTCCCCCAGGCTTAAATCTTCTTCTGACAAAGAAAAGCAGTTAAGCAAAAACTTTGATCTGAGACAATGACAATGTCTGAGACTGTATACAGTACTATATAATATTTTTACCTGGTAGTCCTCTTATCTTTTTAGCCATGGGGGAAGGTACATTTCATTATTTATCTATAACCATCATTGGTTTTCTAGTTACTCAGTCATTCCACTTACCTTTTTGTCATCTTTTCATTTACTTTGTTGTCAGTGTTGATACTATCCTTGGTTTGATTTATCTAACTGCATCAGTGCACAATATCTTACTTTTTTTCTCTAAATTACTCATTTATAATTTTTTGCTCCATATTTATATATGCCATAATTTTTTCAGCTCTCCTCCAGTAGATGGACATCAACTTTATTTCTGGTTCTTTGCTACCACAAGAATATTTTGGTGTATATCAGACCTTTGTTTCTGTCTTTCCCTCCTTGTAATCTTTTCCTGGTTGTGGAATTGATGAGACAAAGGATATGAGTAGTTTGATGACGTTTTGTATGTACTTTGAAATTTACATTCAGAATGGTTTAGATAACTTTATAACTCCACAAGTGTGTCTGTCTTCCCATCTTACATCATTGCCTGTTGCCATCTTTGCCAGTTTGTGTGATATGAGATGAATCTTCTAAATTGTTTTAGTTTATATTTCTCTTACTAGTAGTGATATGGAGTCTCTTGTCATGTGGTCATTTATAGTTGCAGTCCTTTATAACACTACTGATTTACTTTGATCACTTGTCTACTAGAATGACTCTTGGTGTTACACTTTTTGTCAGCTCTCTGTATATCATGTATATCAGTAATATTTGCTGAAAATATTTTCCCCCACTTCACAATTTCTTTTTAATTCTATCTTCATTGCTTTTTTGTGTGCAAAAACTTTAAAATTTTGTAGTCAGAATTATCTGTCTTTTATGATTTCCTCTGTCACTTGTTTCTTTAAGAATTCATCCCTCAGCTGTAGTTATTAAAGAAACCTAATCTCATTCTCTTCTAATTTGTTTTATGGTATGACCTTTTGTATTAGGGTTATGTTTCCATTTTGGATTTATTGTGGTCTGTGGTGTAAGATGTTGGTCTAACTAATTTCTAACAAACTGATTTCCAGTTTTCCCAGTGGCTTTTGTCAAAGAGAATTCTTCCCCCAGTAATTTATGTTTTTGGGGTTATTAAACAGTGGGCTACCTTTTTCAATTGCTTCTGCTTCTTACCTAGGTTATTAGGTTTTTTTAATCAATTAATCAATGAACAAGTATTAAGCAGCTCTTATGTACCAAGTACATTATTGGGCACTGGGAATACAAAAACAAAAATGGAAGAGTCCTTGCTCTCAAGGATTTTACATTCTTGAGGGAGAGATAATATGAGCATAAGCATATACAACAGAAATCCACAAATGCAAGATATTTTGAGATGGAGGAAGAAGCCACTAGCATCTTGGGATCAGGAAAGGCCTCATGTAAAGGTTAATGCTTGAGCTGAGCTTTGATGGAGACAAGCAATTCTTAGAGGTAGATAGATAGGAAAAGGGAGTGTATTATAGGCTTGAGGGACAGCCTTTACAAGTCTTTACCAAAAAAAATGACAGTTTTACCTAACTAATCTACTTACTCAATGTCATCCCAATTACTAAAACAATTATTGTACTGAGTTAGGAAAAAATAGTAACAAAATTCATTTGTAAAACAAAAGGTCAGGAACTTCAAAGAAACGAGGGAAAAAAGATTTAAGGAAGAAGATTCAGCAGTATCAGACCTTAAATTATATTAAAAGGCGAGAGCATTGTTGAAGTGTAAAAAGGATAATTTCAATTATTTCAAATTAAAATTTTCTTGTATAAATAATGCCTATGTAGCCAAGAGTAGAAGGGAGGCAGAAAATTGGGGAGAAAAACCCTCTCATAGACAGTCTGTCAGATAGGATGTGACTGGGTGGTACTGTAGTTGTGGTATAGGAAATGATGAGCTAGTTGATTTAGAAAAATATGGTAAGATGTGGACTTATGAATAAAGATGCTATCCACCATTATAGATACAAATGATAGGAAGAAATAAGCATATTATGGTCTTACATATATGTGTATGAGTGTGTATGTGTATATATGTCTATATTTAGATATCTATGTATATGTATATATATATTCACACTTAATTATAGCCTTCTTTGGGTGGTGGGGGATGGGAGGTGGGGGAGAAAGGAAGCAAAAAGTGTACAGTAAGGAATAAGGAAAACCAAGAAGGGAGCAAAGAAAAGCTGGGCGCCTTTGAAAATAATGTGTAGCATTTCTTATATAGGTTTTCTTGAAAGGGAAGTTTATTGTTTTATATTGAATCTTATGGTCTGCTGGGCACATGGCAATGCTTTTTTTTTTCTTTTCTCATTTTATATTTAAGATAATTTTTTTTTTTTTACAAAACAAAGACTACCCTTTCCAGTACTGGTTGAATTCTTACTAATATCTCCTAACTCACTGGTTGTAGTGGGTGAAGTGGAATATTCCTTGCTCCTCATTGCCACTTCTAGACATTCCCCTTTGCCACCGTCACTCAGTAACCTTTCCTTCTTTGAGTTTTTATCTACAGATCTAACTTCTCAATTCCTCCTTTTACTTGTTTTTCATTATCTACCCTGCCATCACACTATAGTTACACACAGAGATTATCCTGTCTTCCATCTTGCCATCACCCACTCTGAAATTTCTTTACTTGATGCTGATCGGTGGTCATTTCATCTCCACCTCTGCCTTTTAACTCTAAAGCCTGCACTTTGCCCTCAGTGTAACCTCTAATTGCTCCACCCCTGTGTTCTTTCCCAGTCTATCACCCGTAGCTCTGGTTGTACTCTCTTCCCTTCTCCGTCTTGACACTTTGGTGAACCAGTTTATTTTTTATATTGTTCACTTCTCTGAATCCCTTGCTTCTTCATCCTGTCTTGCCTTGCCAAACCATATTCTTGGGTGACCCCTACAATCTCTCGTCTTCACTTTTACTCGTGTGCTGCTGAAGGAAATCACAGACAGGATCCCTTACAAGTTGATGATACATGATCTCAACTGGGTTCTTACTGCAGTAAGACAATTCTTTTACTCCCTCCTTGATTCACTGTCCTGCTCACCACAGTGGGTTTTCCAAACCTTTTCATCCCTTCTCAAGCATCCTGTAGATCCTCCTTATCCTGACACTCTCAACTGACAGTCTTGCCTCATATTTCACTGAAAAAATTCAGGCCATTTGCAGAGAATGCCTTCTTTCTCCTTGTTCTTCATGAACATAGCTGAGGAATTCCTTGTAACTCTTGCTTCTCAGGTGGGGGAGACAGCTGAGTCTTATTTAAACTAGATAATGTATATAAAGTGCTATTTAAATAGCACTTTTTGTACTATAGTATGAATATAGTTTTCTTATTTATCATATAGATGAACTAGTTGAGATCTTTTGGGTATGATTGCTGATATTTCTGCCATTTTTATGTGGATATTAAAGATTTAGTGAAAGATTGAGCCATTTTATTGTAACTTGTCAGTCAGCTGCCATTTTACTAACAATTAGTGATTGAAAACACTTAACTAGTGGTGGTTGAAAACATTTAAGGGTTAATTGTCTTGTTTAAAGGTACTCAGTCTGAATTTTAGGAGTGATCAACCGTCTGAATCTCAGTTTATCCAGGAATTTTTGCTACAGAATTGTTAGCAGAACTCTTTCTACAGAAAAAAATAATATGTGTACATGTCCTTTTCTGTGGTGCCACAGAGGTCCTTGATAATAATTTATCCTTGGAAAAGTAGCAAAACTTACAGGACAATAGAAGAGATTCTTGACTTTGTGTTGCTTTCATTATCATACATCAACTTGTTGTGTATACATGCAGTTATTTAGAAAACCTTAAAGTGCCTGATTGATAGTTAGACTAGATGCCTATCATGGACCCTTTCAAGTCACTTCAAATTCTGTTATTAATGACAGACTCAAGAGGACTAATGATGAAACATGCCTCTCTACTTTTGGCATAGAGTGATGAAATATGGTTGCAAAATGAGGTATATATTGTCAAACTTGGCCAGTGTTTGGCCAGGTTGTTTTGTTTTGCTTAACCATACATTCTTGGTTACAATGGAGGATGATATTGTTGGGAAGAAGGAGGAATCATTGGGAGCTGGTGTTGATGTAAGAAAAATCACCAATAAAGCTTTTTTTGCGAGAAAAAAAGAAGAGAGGCTATTTAAACATGTAAGATAGGTTAAAATGGAAATGATGTTGATGGCTTTCTGATGTCCTGGTTTTTTATTCCAACTCCTTTACCTCCAACCCACCGTTTTCTACATAAGGATCTAGGTCTAGGAGCTGGTAGATAGAGTTTTGTCCTGGTAGCTGTTTATAAAAATATATATTTATAAGTTAGGGGACCTCAGTGAAAATAATTTTTTACCTTCTACAACAATAATTTTTTTCAAACAGTTTAATGTCCTTTATAACATCTTGTATAACTAGCACAAGTAATTACTTTTAATTAAAGCAAAAGGAACATCTTCTCTGTTTAGGTATTTATGATCCAGACCACAAAATTGTAAGCTTTTGTTTTTTTAATATACCAGGGCCCATTGCATAGTAGATAAAGTGTTGGACTTGGAGTCAGGAAGGCCTCAGTTCAAATTCTGTCTCAGACAGTTAATACCTTTGTGCCCTAGGACAAGTCAGTTAACCCCTTTAGCCTCAGTTTCCTCATTTGTAAAATGGGGATAATAGTATCACATATATGACAAGATTGATGTAAAGATCTAATGAGATAACATGTGAAACCTTTTACCAACCTTAAGTGCTATATAAATGTTACTTATTATCATTATTATGATCATTAATAGTAATTGTAGCATTAATGATAAAGTTTAACATTGAAACATTTTAGAGAATTTAGCTAAAGTTTAAGAAAATGATATATTTGTGACTCCAATTTTAGGTTGACATATTGTGAATGAATTTCAGTCTGGTGTTTGTTATTAGTTTTAATTCTTTCATATTGAGCTTTTGTATTGTTGCTATGCCATATTATGTGAATTTTATCAACACGAACTGATAGGAACTGTGAATTTAAATAGTAGTTAAAATAAACATTTGAAATTTCATATGAAAGTAGAGAGTTGTTCAGTCCTGGTATTGAAAAAATAAGCTGACTCAGATAAATATACGTTTTATCCGTGTTGTGATTTATTAACAATTTGGAAGCTAAAACAAATTATTTTTAAGGTAATCAGTTACTATTAAGTCAGTTTCTTCCTGAAATAAAGGCCCATCTTTTAAAAATTAATAGTATTTTATTTTTTTCCAATTACATTTAAAGATAATTTTCAACATTCATTTTTTTGGAAAGATTTTGAATTCCAAATTTTTCTCCCTTCCTTCTCTTCTGCCCGAGACTAAGGCCCATTTTTTTTTAACAGTGTTCTTTAGGTGATATACTATGGCTGTTAATCATGGAATACTGTAGTCTCCAAAGAATTGAAATTGAGGATCACGCTAATGGAAAATTTTGGGGGAGGGCTCATGGTGGGCACTAGTAAGCTGTAACACTATACAGATGAGAAGAACTGTTATAAAAGATGTCATCAGAGAAATGTTTAATATAACTAGAAAAAAAATGATTTGATGACATGGCTGACATCCCTGATTTCCATCTAGATTAATTCCTCTAAATGCTAATGTCTTCCCCCCTCAAAATGACCTGGTTTTTATTTTTCATGTGTTTTATATATGCTCATATAGGTGTGTACTGTCTCTTCTGATAGAATTTAAGCTCCTTGAGTGCAGGGACTGTCTTGCTTTTGCTTTTTCATCTTTAACACTTAGCACAGTGCCTTGCACATTTAATGGATGCTTGCTGATTAATTGCTAGAGGGATAACCTTTAACTTTATGTTCCGTTGGCATCCATACAGTACAAAGAATACACAAAGAAAGCCCCTATCATATTCCTTGGATCCTTTCAGTCATATGGATGAAATAAATCTCACAGCATAGGCAGGCATGGTTTACCATCTTCATTTCTCAAGGGAATACAAACATCATTGAGATCACGGATTTACTGGATTATTGGAGTATCAAATCTACTAATGTTGTTAAAGATTGGCTTCCTTTTACTTTTATTCTTGGTGAAGAAACTTGTATTGTTCCTTATTAAGAAAGTAGCAGGGGAGCTACGTGGCGCAGTGGATAGAGCACCGGCCCTGCAGTCAGGAGGACCTGAGTTTAAATCCGGCCTTAGACCAAACATTTGACACTTACTAGCTATGCGACCCTGGGCAAGTCAGTTAACCTCAATTGCCTAAAAAAAAAAAAAGTAGCCGTTTTAAGCATAATTATTATGAATTTCTCAGGGGTTTTGGTGGGTTCATTTTTATTAATTTTAATATCTTTTTAACCTCTTATAGCTAATGCAACTACATGAAGTTGGCTTTGTTCTTTGACTCTTATTTTGTCCCTTCAGCTGAAAAAAGAGTCAAAACTAAGAAACAGAGATGTGATGGAAAAAATTTCAAAACACAATATCATTAGAAAAATGATACTTTTATTTCACATTTTCATAATGATACTTTGCATTTACATGCCATCTTTTATTTGAGATTGGTATTTGGAGTGATTTCCTTCATATTTATTAATATTGTTAGGTTTTCATTGTTATTCTTATTGCATCAGTGAGGAAACACTGATGAGGTTTGTTTTTTTTTTAATCAAATGATGAAGTAAGACTATTTAGTACAGGTAAAAGTTCATTTGTCTTAATATCATAATAAAGAAGTATCCTGACTGGATGGATGAATGGAAGAGTATTTATTACACGTTTAATATGTTCCAGGCCCTCTACTAAATGCTAAGCATACAGATACAAAATTGAGACAGTCTTTGCTTTCAAAAAGCTTATATCCGAATTGGGAGACACAGCATCTATGAGGGAAGTAGTGACCAAGCAAGGGTATTTTGGTCTGAGAAGTCACTGGATTGATGAATAGTATAACAGGGCATTTGACTGATGTGGTCTTCTTGGAAACAACAGTAGAGTTGATTTGACTACAGTTTCAGAGCAAGAAGTAAAAAGAGAAGTGAGGATGCATAATAAGACCCATGGCCAGAGGATGGCCTAAATAAAGCATGACAGGTCTGGGGCTAGATAGATTTATCAAATGAAGTAATATTTGTAAAAACCATTTGGCTCAGTGCCTGGCATTTATAAGTGCTTATTATATAATGCTTATTATATATAGTATAATAATTATACAAATGCTTATTATAAAGGCATTATATAAATGCTTATTCCATCCTGTTCCCCTAAATACAGTAGGCTCTCCCCAGTCAGGGTGAGATCCAGGGAAGGAGCTCAGTAAGTAGCTTAGTTCTCCCAGGGCATGATGTTTGGAGGTCCTTATAATAGCCTTGCAATTGATCTCCATGCCTGATGTTTCTGACTTTACCAATCCAATCTTCACATAGTTACCAAAATTTTACAAATATGTTATTATTGGCCTTACTCTATTACTTCACTGCTTGAAAAACTTTAAATGGCTTCCCCGTTGCCATAGGATAAAATATAAATTTTTTAACCAAGTAATTAAAGTTATAAGATCATGAGATCAATCTACCTTTCTAGCTTTATTTCATTCTCATCTTCTTCATGCACTCATGTTTTAGACACACTAGACAATTAGTCCTTTCACTATCTCAAGCTGAAGTCTTGTGGTTTCATATAGGCCATTCCCCACATTTGGAAAGCTCTTTGTTCTTAGTTCCCTGACCACTGAAATTCTCTTCTTTCAAGGCTCAGTTCAGGTGCCACCTCCACCATGAAGTTTTCCTACTCACTCTGATGAAAGTGATCCTCTCTCCTAAATTTCTTACAGAATTTTATCTAAATTCTTTCCCTTATAAGGGCTAACTTGTATCATACTTATGTCTGTCTTCCCTATTAGATTATAAGATCTTTGAGGCCAGAGACTGTCATTTTTCATTTAGCATCCCTAGTAGCTACCATGGTGTCTTTCAGATCACGATTGCTTAATGAATATTTGTAGAATTTGAATTAATCAGTTAATTTTAGTTGACACATCTGAATAAATAAGCTGTTTCCTTTAACTTGGAAGATGACCCTTAATAAGTTTATTGTTAACCAGTTACATTAAATTCTATACAGAATAACACTGTACCTGCTTTTTCTTATCTGTGTCCATATAAGTGTCAGAGGACTTGAGAAAGTAAGCAGTTTTTATTTCGGATTAGGAAGAGGAGCTGAGATATAGCTAAGCTCTGTAATTTATAGTTCTTTACAGGTGTCATTTTAGTTACTACAACAAACATTTCTACCCTCTAAACAAAATTCATTGACATTCTCAAGCTTCCATTAAAACAAAACAACAGAAATAATTTTGATATAGGATAGAGTTGATGTGTACATGTTCTCTTTCTTTTTTACTAATTAATTCAAAACATTTCAAATTATTCATTCATAACAGATATAGAGAGGGAATCAGCTGTTTCATTTTGCAATTTTGTAGGAGCAAAATCTCATTATAGTAAAAAAAAACCTTATATGTCACATAGAGTTTATCATTGGCTATTACTTCCATTATAGTCCCAAGCAATTGGGATGAAGTAGTATTTATATTCTGTACTTTGACCATCATTTGCCTGTCAGTGTTTTTTAAGAATAACATTTAGAAGTACAAGTAATCTGAAACAAAATAGGTATCATAGGGATTTGTTATCATTCATTCATTCATTCATTCATGTCCAACTCTTTGTTACCCCTTGGGTCATAGCACACCAGGCCCTTCTGTCCTCCACTATCTCTCAAAGTCTCTCCAAGCTCATATTGCTTCCGTGGCGCTATCCATCTCATCCTCTGCCATTCCCTTCTCCTTTTGCCTTCATCACAGGGAGCATGGTTAGAAATTACACCTCCTACTTTTGGGGCTAACCTATATATTTGTATATTCAAATCAGTCTCTTATAGATCTCTTAGAATTTGCCTTCCTATGAACTCTTGATAATAATTGAAATTTGAAGTACTGTCACTAAACTTAAATTTTTTTTTTTGTAGAAAGGGAATTTTGGGAATTATGTAATAAATGTAATTTGATGAGACCAAAGCGTTCCCATCACTGCAGCCGATGTGGTCACTGTGTTAGGAGAATGGATCATCATTGTCCGTGGTAAGAGAACATTAATTCATTTTTAATCACACTAGATCTTATTATATGTTGATTCCCTCATTGATGTGTTAAATTTTCCTCATCATAGCTAGCCTGTAAAATAGGAAAGGTTCTGTGTTGATAGCAGACATGCAGTATCTAGACAGTGGAATGACCAATTCTGTCTCTTTTTCTAGACCCCCAACCCCCCCCCCAAACCCATTACCCTTTTCTGCCCCTTGAGATTTATTTTTATCATATTAAACTTTTATCAATATAAATATCTAGTTTGAAAATGACCGTATGTTGATCATGTACAGTTCTCCCTACTTCTAAAATTCCATCATCATTTAGTGAGAATTGGAGGTGTGGTCGGGGATTAAGTGTAGAACAATATTGACCTTTTTGGTCAATAGGGGACTCTCTTGCAACAGCTAAATACTTTAAAGAGAATATACTTTTGAGCTACATTTTTTTTTGAAATTTTACAGGATTTCTACATTGTATCACTGTAACAAAACTTGCAAAATCTATGAAAAACAGGAATTGTATGTAATTCTGTTTTCTTTGTATTGCTTTATGTCAACATTTATACTTGGTATAAATAGGTATGTGTAAGTTTGTATATATTAGTATGTATACATATGCTCTCACAGATTTATATGAATGCGTTGAAGTGTACACAGAAAAAGACAAGGACCACAAAATGTATGTGGTATTAACAGTTATTCAGAAATTGAATCAAAGCTGATCTTGCCCTTTTACTTAACAATAGAAATCAAAATAAATTTATTTTGGTAACGTTGCCTGAAAATTGACTGGACAGTGTCTTTAAATTTAAGACTTATTTAAAGTAAATTTACTGAAATTAGGAAAAATATTAAAAAGCTCTGGTAAAAATATGTTATTATAGTACCAAATCAAAAGTTTGATCTGTGACAAATGTCAATAGTACTTTTTTCCCCAGTGTAATAAATTGAGTTAAGACAAAATAGTCATTATCATTATCCTCTGAGAAATCTAATTTTAAGTGCAGTTTCATATCATATGCACAAAAAGTTAACTCTAATTGCTTCACACATTTGAGTTCTAGTTCCTGATTATTGAATATGAAAATGTAGAAAATGTGCCAGCTTTAAGTTAATCCTTTCTTTAAAAAGAAAACAAAATTTAAATCTCATGGAGAATAAAAGCACAACAAAACTACCCATTTGTAAACTTTCTGAACACTAGAAAACAATGTTATGTTTTAAAACAATGAAAAAATAACTAATTTTGGGTGACAAAATGTCTTCATTTCATCAGTTATAGAGGTATAGAACTTATTCTCTATTTGTAATCTGCTTCTTGGGAGAGTGAGGAAGAGTAAATAGATTAAGGATATTTTATTTAGCCTTTTTTGTTGAGAGCTATTAAGGCATTCAGTATATAAAGCTATATATTTATTGACTGACACAATTGGATGGGGGCATGGGAGAAGAAAAGATGATAGGGAAGGTGAAGTGAGTTAGAGAATAGAGTTAGAACGATTTGGGGAAATCTTTCCTGGGCTCTTTCATTTCATCTAGCAACCTTAAGATTAGCAGACCAAAACTCAGGTGGCTCTTTGATTTTACTATCTTCATTCAGTGTAAGTATCCTAGGTTTTCATTGTTTGTGTCAGATGTTTAATAAATCCTTTCTTTATAATCAGTCAGGCAGTAAACATTTATAAATGCTTACTATGTGCTAGGCTCTGTGCTAAGTGCTGTGGTTACCAAGAAAGTCAAAAAATAGTCTCTGTTCTTAAGGAGCTCATAGTCTAATGGGGGAGACCACATGCAAACAACTATGTACAAAGAAGATTTTTATTTATGCACACTTATTACACGTATATGAATATATGCATGTGTATAAGGTACCCAACACATGTCATTTACGGTTTATCATGTGTGCACATGCATACGTAACACACATGCATACATGTATGTATGTGTATGTGCTTATACGCATATGTGATTCATTGCACATAATTAACAGAGGAAAGGCACTAGCATTAAGGGCAGTTAGAAAGACTTATTGTAGAAGGTGGGATTTTAGTTGTGACTTAAAGAAAGCCAGGAAAGTCAGGAGGTAGAGATGAGGAAGGAGAGAACTTATAACTTCATAAGTAGATTTCCTGGTCTACAGAAATCTGAAAGTAAATACTACAAACATTGCCACATGACTGTTTGGAAGGGGAGGTGGGGATGAAAATAGAAATATTTAAAGGACCAGGATTTTAAAGTGTTTTGTAGGGTTAAAGACTGTATATATACACACTTTTCTGTAACCTAGCCCTTTAAATTATTTAATAAAATTTAAATTTATTTTAGAGGTAAATTGTAATTTAAATTTTATTTTATTATTGTGATAATTTTTACAAATATCCATTTTTACTAGATTATTCTGTATTTAGATTAGAAAATGAAATTGTAGAAAACTATTTTCCTTCTCAGAAAGAACAATCAAAAACGATAATTCATCAAGAATGTGATTCTTCAGTATTGGTTTCTATTGTACCATTTTTTCCCCAGATGGTAACAAAGTAATGTTATTTTGATATGATGAAATAACTTAGAATTCTTTATCATATTGGCCTCAGGGTCTTTGTTGAACAATTACAATAAATTGAGCAATTGCTACTGATAGTGAAGAAATTAACTAGATTTTTAAAAATTGAGAATGTTTAGGATGAAAAATATTTAATTTTGTTCTAAACATAAAAATCTTTTCTTCTTTTAAAGTGTGTTTTGGAAATATTTAGGATTAGCTTATTCATATAAGCAGATATATTCTAGAAATATTTCTAACTAAGATCAGGAAAGATGTAGTGAAGATATGATATCATTTTTCCTATTTTTTGCAACTAAGGGTGTGTTATTTTTGTAAGGAAAATGAGTCAGAGTGAATCACTTCTGTTAGGCTGAAGAGTTATCAGGCTTATAATTTCAGGGGAAGTTATAGTATATATTATGTCTAATTGGCCTTGAGTTTTATAGTAGTTAATATGTATAATTGGACTTGAGCTTTGTAGTAGTCAATATGTTTGATGCCAAGTCTTTGAAAAATTTTCCAGGTTTGTATTTATACCTGTAATAACGAAATAGGCAGCTTTCCTTTTTAACTTTTTAGATATACTATTCGGTAAACAATACATTTTAAAATAAAATTCCTAAGTGATACTGTTCATCAAAAAGTTAATGTGATACGGTGAAATCTCTACTCTCTCTCTCATTCCCTCTCACCCAGAGTAAACTATGGGCAGAAAAATTTGTTGATAAGATAATCTTAATTTTTAAAAATAAGTAAACAATGGGGAAAAAAGGCTTACCAAAATAAGAAAAGTTATGTCTAGATTTGACAATGTGCTTTCTATCCCAAGAAATAAAATTGTCAGACAACAGTTTTGGAAAAATTCTTTTTTCCTGCATTAAAATTGCCCTCTTTTACTATAATGTAGAAACGTGTATTATCATAAAGAAAACCAATGAAGCAGGAGTCAAAGGAACTAGATCATAATCCTGGTAATGTCACTCACTCATGTCACTGTGTGAGCTCACCTTCGGTTTCCTTGTCTGCAAAACGGGAATGAGACTTGCCATGTTGACCTCATTGCATCTTTGTGAAATAATGTATGTGAAAACATTTCACATACACCATTATTTTTTGAGTATAAAGTATGTAAAGTACTGAATGCTCTACCATTGTATTATTTTGTATTGTAGTTTCTTGTATTTTCTACTTCCTGTTTGTATTAAGTGGTTCTAGCAATCACATGTCTAGTTGGAATAAAAGTAAAATTAGAGCTTTTTTTCCCCTTCAGATCCTGCTTCTAAACATTTCAAAATTGGCCTACTTCCAATTTTAAAATTTAGTCTTTTCATTTGTTTTTGTTTTTGTTTTCTCTGCAGGATTAATAATTGTGTTGGTGAAGATAATCATTGGCTTTTTCTGCAACTATGTTTCTACACAGAGCTTCTTACTTGCTACGCATTGATGTTTTCTTTCTGCCACTATTACTACTTTCTGCCATTAAAAAAGCGTAACTTGGTAAGAAATTTTTTATCAGATATCAAGAGGGCAAGTGCATCCTATAGCTATTAGAATGTATTTTTTAGACATCCAGAGGAGTTTTAAAAAATCTTTAAATGGTATTTGGGTTGGGATGGCAAAGGATATTACCCATAAGTAACTTACATTCAAATAGTGTTGAGACTATCTGCACTCTGTGTTATGTAGTCAAACATTGTTGTCACATATATTATGGAAACATTGAATTTGGTAGAAAACGCAGCTGCCTTTTACAGTAAGGGAATCTGGGAAGAGCAGTTAGATATTAGCTCACTTGCTTTTTGTAATGCATGACTTTTTTATGTAATGGAAGGATGACATGGCATAGTGGATTGAGAACTGGTATATCCCAGAGTATCCGAGTTTAGGTTCTATCTCTGATATATATTGACTGTGTGATACTTGTCAATAGGCAGTTAACCTCTCTGTGCTGTAGGCAACTCGTTAAGATTTTAAGTTGCAGAGACTCTCACTTTAATCCCCACCACCACCCCCATTTTATTCCCTCCCCTCCCCTTTTTTGCCTTCTGTATTCTCTAGAAGGTTCTCTTTTTGTTGAGAAGCTAGAGGAATCAACATCCCTATGCCATTTATCCATGGATTCGATAAGGGTATATCACCTATTCCTCTTTGACATACACCCTGACTCCCTATTTATGTTCCTACCACTCTGCATTTTTGTCCCAAAAGGTATATTGATTCCCTATAGGGGAATTGGGGGGTTTAGTTTATGGTGTTTCATTTCTGTTCCTTCACCTTCTCTTCTCCTATTTCCTTTTTCTGTTTACATTTTTATTTCTTTGTGTACTTATAAAAAAAAGGCTCTTGGTCCTTTTACCCTATGTATTCATTTATTCTTTTTCCCTTTTTCTTTTTTACCTTTTTTTCTAAGGTAACATTCAAACATTGGGGTAGTTTATTCCTTATTCTTTCATTAGGAATTTTAGTATTCCAAATCTATTTACTTCCCCAGCTTCTTTGGAGAAAGTCTCCAATTTTTTGTTTCAATTTTTAATGTTTCAGTTTTTTTCTAATCTGCTAATTGAGTTTTACTTTTGCATTGATAGCTATAAATTTTGACATATTCTATTCATTACTTATGTCTCTTATTTATTTTGTTTCTCTTTTGAACCATTTTGGAATTTAAAAAAATATTCTATGATCTCGGAATTTCACAGGATTCTATGTTTTATCAGTCATAAATTGGTTTTCTTTTGTCTACTATTATTTTTTGAGAACTTTGTAATTACTTGGCAGATTTAGTACTCAATTTCTTCTGCCTTCTTCCTATTGATATCTGTCTTGTTTGAGCATTTTTTCCATATTTTACTCTGTTTCTTACTTTCTGATTCTACCTTCTTTGTTGGTGGATATACACTCCCAAGGCTGAGGTATAATATACTTCAGCTTCTTTCCATTTTAGGTTGTTTAGTGTTCACCACTAGGTCTTTGCGTTGAGGAGTCTGTGATGGCATAAGACAAGTTCAGCTGTGTTTCAATCTTCTTTTCAGGTTCACTGGAGTATGCCGTTTCTCTGTGACATTTTCTATTTTGTTCTTTTTGGGCTGATATTAATGAGTGCCTTCCACTTTTTGAAAGAAGGGGGTATCCCAGGTATAGCCTTTGTAGTTTTGGGATCACCAGCTTAGGGGCAGCATCTGGCAGAAGGCAACACAATTTCCTGTTGTCCTTATTCCTTTGGCGGCTGGCTAACTAGTGTCCCCTGATTGTTGCAGGCTGGTAGGTGAGGTTGGATAGTTGGGGGTAAAGTATGACACATCAAAGTCTCTGCAAAGAGAGGGCCCAGTATAGACTCCATACAGGAGTTTATGGATCAGTTTGTAGTCCCTGCTAGAAGTGCACAGGCTAGTAGGTTAGGAGTTCTGAGTGAATGCTTTAAAGATCAGTGCTCTCTAGTATTAATTCATGAGGATTTTATCTGGTTGTGATTCTCTCTTTTTTGTCCTGTGTATTCACCTGCAATTGCTGTATACCTGGGGTAGATTTAGTGTTTTGGGTTTCAAAATTTAAAAGTTGATAGAGTCTGGGGAAAGTGACTAGTATGCCATCTTGTTGGTCCTAGGACCATAAGTCACCTCATGTATGTAAATTACTGAAGAACCGTGACTGCTTAATTTTTTTTTGTCTTTGTATCCTCAGTACACTTAGAAGAATGCCAGACAAATAGTAGATACTTAATAAATGCTTATTGCTTGATTGATAACAGTAATAGAGTTGATTATGTAAGTATTTGGAGAAGTCTAAACAGAATGGTATAAGAAATTAGGAGAGATTATTTCTAGGTGTATGGCAATAGAAGGAAGACTTCACAAAAAAAGATGAACCTGTGCAGGGCCTTGAAAGATAGGGAGGATTTTAACAATTGTATTGGGTGATATTCCAGGTATAGATATAGAGTAAATAGAGGCACTAAAGTAAGAAAATTCAACAAGAGGACATAGGTGAATGATGCATCGTCTAGTTCAGATGGAATATAAAGTATGTAAAGGCCAGGGAGAAGGCTAGAATGGTAGATCAGGACAAGATTATTGAATACCTTAAAAACTAGATTAAGTAGCTGGGTGCTTATTTGGTGAATAATGGGGAACCATAGGAAGATGTAGAACAGGGGGTGATATTTTCCCTCTACTTTAAGAAGATTGTTCTTAGCCTTGTGTATAGAGGCTTCTGCTTTATAGGGAAGATGCAAGTAGAGACGCAGGAAGAAAATTACTTAAGCTTAAGGGAGAGGTGATAAGGGCCTGGATGAAGATGGCTGCAGTGGGAAAGGAGAGGAGAAGAGAGGACGCTATTGCAGAGTTAGACTCAATGTCACTTGTTAAATGATTAATATGGAGGATAAAGTAGAGGGAAGAGGCAAAGATGACACCTAGGTTCAGCTTAGGGGAAGTTTTGGAGAGGAAAATATTTTTGGGGAAAAGATGAGAATATAAGCTCCTTATGAGTAAGGATTGTTTCTTTCATTGTATTTGTATCCGCAACACCTCTGCAGAGTGCCTGGCACATAGTAGGCACTTAATAAATATTTGTAAGTTGATTGAGTTCAGTTTGGGCATATTTAATTTAATATGATTCATTACAGGACATCCCAGTGGAGAAAAGTTACATAATTTGTTGTTTGAAATAGCTCAAGATTGGAGATAACAGGTTTAGCAGTCACTTGCGTACTTCCCTAATGTCTTTGCCCTTGTTTTCCATGATGCTATACTGTCATAAATTTCCTACTATGATTGAGCCTTTTTTCTTTTTCTTTATCCTGCCCTCTAAATGTTGGCATTCCACTAGGCTCTATCCTTAACTGTTTTTTAGCTATACTCTCTTTTCCTTGGTACATGCAAATCATTCAGTAATCATTTATTAAGTATCTACTATGTGCTAGGCACTGTGCTAAGTGTGTTAACAAATATTATTCTATTTTATCCTGAAGTGGGTGCTAGTATTATCCCCATTTTACAGTCGAGGAAACTGAAGCAAAGAGAAGTTAAATGACTAGCTTAAATGACATTTAGTAAGCGTCTGAAGTCCTGACTCTAGGCCCAACACTCTCTCCACTATGCCACCTAGTTGCCTATAAGACAATTTCTTGAAGGATATCGGAGGGAGTGGAATCAAAATTATTATCTAATTCAATTTGTATTTATTGAATACCTATTAAAGTACCCTAGAACTTTGTTCAATATGAATACATTCTTTTTACAATTAGTTTATCTAAAAAATATAATTAAAGGGGTTTCTTTATTGGAGTGGAAGAGACCCTATTATAAGACAGTGGCGTCTATGTTACCCAATAAATGAAACCTCCTCATAACAAACATTTTTCTTTCCATTATCCAGTTCTGTTATTTGGGGTTTTGTTTTGTTTTTGAGTAACTTCGTTCTGAACAGTAGGTTTTTCTTCATTTCCCTTTGAGCAGATGTGCAGGCAAATACACATAAATTGAAACTTGCATAGGGTATCTTAGCTTGAAGACTTAAATATATATCAGAATAGTCTTAGAATGTATTATCATTCTTATTTAGTATAGCTCATAGAAAATAGTATTAAATATTTTATTTTGATGTTTTAAATTTATTCTTATAAATTTGTCCTCTGTTGTTTTGAAAGCACTGGAAACTCTTCTCCCCGTAACCTTAAAGATATCATCTGTTATCATTTCAGTTCATTCACAGACCATATAGTCTTCAAATTAGGAAAAGTGGATTTCTGAAGTTAGGAAAAGTGGATTTCTCAGTGACTTGTTGAATGATCTTGGGCAAGTCCAAACATCTCTATGCTTCAGATTCAATATGACTATAATTATGTTAACCTCCTTCTTTTCCTCAAATGGATGTTGTGAGAATTAATAGGATAATGGGACAGTTCCTATTTGACAAGCAATTGATTCCTTGGGAGTAACTTAGATACTTCTGAGTATGCATGATTCTTTCAATTCACTAAAACTATCTGTAAATTTATTGCTTATAAGTACCTAAATTGTAACTAACATAATGTGGTAAATTATTTTTATTTTCTTTTGTATTTTTTATATATTACATGAACAGTAAAAGGATCTGTGATTAAAGACCAACCACTGAAAAGGTGGTGACCTCAAAAACCCCATTTGTATTGTCATGTTGTCTGCTTAACAAATAGAATTGGTGGCTCCTGAAAAGGATTAAATTCCTTGTTTGACTAAGAAAACCACATTTGACCATTTTTCTAAATGGTTGTTCTTACTGTCTTATATTTAAATGACTGAGGTTAATTGATCATAGGAGCATAGATTTAGAGCTGGGAGGAAACTTGGATACCATTATTATAGAGAAATTTTGTTTTTGTTTCAGGATGGTTTTGTTTTTGTTTTTTGCCTTGACATATATTAGAAAATTATAGACAGACATTTTGATGACATAGGCTTTATGAAAAATCTATAAAATATTTATAGTGTCAGACATTTTTTTGGAAATATAGTTTGTGA